TTCTTTTTATTTTTACTCATTTATATTCATATTTCGTCATTCATCTTTACCCGTCGAAGACTGTAGATCTAACAGTCGAAAGCTCGTATATCTGTAAACATTTTTAGCCAGAGATCGTTTTTTAAATTTTTATTTTGAAAAGGTGTTTGCCATGCATCACTCAGTTTTCAATACCTGGCCTCATGTAGCTGAGAATGTGTGCTTCTGATATCGTGTTGTACCTGAAGCCACATATTAGTACGCCATTGCAAACAGTTTCAACAGCGCTGCCCACAAATATTACCCAAGTGAAATAGCTAGAAATCAGAAGTAACTATTGGTAAATTGTGAAGCCTCAAAAATGAGTATCAGGTATCTAAGCGTTATATATAGAGAAAGTCTCCTTAATTACACAGTGATTAAAACTTTTTTTTTTGTTAACCCAATAGGAATCAAGTATTTGGCCATTTGGGTCATTATTTGAACCAGTTGTAGGTCGTTATTGCCATTAGTAAACCTTTTAGTCTTCTTAGTATCAAGTTCAGAAGATTACTAGCGGCAATATCCCGGATTAAGAGAAAACCACTGTCCTCTTTTTCCCAGATCAGTGCCAAATAAAAAGAAGTCCTATTCCTCTTTAAATCAAACCCTATTCCACTGAGGTTAAAAGGAACGAATGAACGACCGGTTTTACAGGACATGACAACATTTTGTTCAACTCATTAACAATTCATCAAGTTTAAACAAACGATCGAACCAAAACCGTTACGGTGGATTTCTCATCATAATTAGCATAGATATTTTTCCGTTTTCTGTAAGGTTTTTCCATTCGATTGAGATGATATACTAAACACTCAAGACCGCGATTGACCACATTTCCAAACACTTCGGAGTTGGCCAAAAATACTCCGCTATGCGTCGTATTTTCAACTATCTCTCGGTAACTGGAAATGAGGTGAAACAAGGTCTGTTAGTAGACGTTCGTATACTCAGTAACGCAAGAAGCGTTTGAAAGATTCATATTGACCAGCAAAATAAAAGGGGCTGCCGCTATGTGTTGTCGGTTAGCAAAACACCACAACTGAACCTTGGTTGCATTTAAGGTCATTCCATTGAAATAGAACCTACACTGAGATTTTTGTGAAACTTTGCCTATTGATTGCTTATATTATAGGAACTTAAATTTTGAATTAAAAAATGAGGGGTCCCCATGTTCGTTTAGGAGCAACAGCACCTTGTTTATACCCAATAAATCCTTATAATAGCACCATGATTGTAGTCAGGATTGCT